TTTTCCATCGATGACGAAGAACGTGGTGAGCAGAGTCTTACTCCTGATTGTTAGTTCAATGTTCATTGCGCCCCCGGGTCTTAGACGCATTACCCCCAAAGTCCTTAAGCATCATGTTGGTCTCAATCAGATCTCCTAGTCCCTTGCCAAGTTTACAAAAAGTGGTGTAAGGCATGAGATTGACAGAAGCACCTCCGTCCACCAACATCTTGTTCATCGGTTTCCCATCAAAAAAATAGTTTACATATAAAGCCTTTAAGTGCCGATGCTTGACTGGTTTATCAAATAATGCCTGCTGTATAACTGTTAACTTGGCAACTATCTCCTCATACTCTGATTCATCAAAATCTGAGTAAACTTCTTGGTCTGTTAGAGCTCTAAACTCTGATGACAACAGAAAAGCCATTTGAATATTAGCCGATGGTTGCCTTCTATCGGCTATTTGCTTAGCACGCCATACTTGAGGTTTACTGGATGCCTAAGCCTGTTCCAACTCTCTATTCCTTAGGCGTTGCACCCTTTGTTTTTGACTTCTTGTCAGACCTCTTGGACACCATTGGCCTTCCTGCCAAACACATCTTTTTTCATTACTTTCTTCTTCATAATCAGCCCAGTTTTGATCAACAACTCGTTTTCCAAGCCGATCATGAGCACTTCCATTTTTTAAGCGCTGATCCATGTTATTTTGATGATATGCATCTTGAGTATGGATAGACCGATGGTTGGCTTGAGATTGCCTAAACTCCCAATATTGTTCACTGCACTCTGGAAAGTTGTTTCTGGTAAGCAATTTCAAACCTTCGTTCCAGCAATGTCTGAAGAAAGGACAATTCAAATGTGATTCAGCTTGCTTTCTTTCATACCTCTCTTTTTCCTGTTGATGCTGGTATTCTTACTCTTCTAACCAACGCTGATAATCCTTTTCCTTCTGTCGCTGCCATTTGTTCAACAAAATTTGAAATGTAACCCACGGCTTTGTCGCCCCATCTTTTGACGTTTCTCCCTGTTCATATCGGCTCTTTTGCTTGTCGCGACGTCTTTTAATTTTTCTGTATTCGTCAGCCAATATTTGCATCTCGGGATCGACTGTTCCAGTTTCTCTTGATTTGATTGATGTTAGGACCTTAGTCTTTCATTTGAACAGCCTAGCATCGACCATGTTTTGATCTCCTGGGAAAGAATTATCATCAACTTTCATCTTCCGAGGCGTATCAAATTTAAGCCTTCCTTGCTAAATAGCCCTCTATATATGCTGCCGGAAAACTCTACATTCATTAGTAGAATGAGATGTAGCGTTGTAAAACTTGTAGAACTTCTTATTTTTCACCTGATCAGGGGGCAACATAACATGATTATCGGGCAACTTGATCTGTCCCTTCTCGAGCAAGAAATCGAAGAGCTTGTCTGATTTCGTGACGTCAAAGTCATAGCTCTCTTCGATTCCTCTTCCCCACGGATTTAGCACCATTACTGTCTTTTTGCTCCAAATCCATTCAACTATGGCAACTTCTTCTTCTTCATTGTCTTCATAGCTGTCATCGACTGAATATGGATTATAAGCTTCGGCCATTGTGGTATTTTTCTAGAATCGGGTATCTCTGCGCATACTCTGGAATTGGCTATTGAGTGCTGCCACTCGTTGAGCCAATTGACCCAAGTTGTCAAACTCTTGTCCCAGCAGCTTTTCTCTCCATGTTGGTAGTATTCCTTGAATGGCCAAAGCAGCTAGCTGATCATCAGCCAAGTTTAATGAGAAACAAATTTCTAATCTCTCGGAACCTCTGAAGAAACTCAGTGCCCGATTCATTAGTTTTCTGCCTTATAGTTGTCAAATCAGTAATCTTCTTTTCTCTAGTCCCAGTATAAAAATATATATGAAATTTCTTCTCTAGGTCAGGCTAATTGGCAATAGAGTTGACTAGCGGTGATAAAAACCAAGTGAAGGCTGGCCTTGACAGTGATAGGGAGAAGAAACGAAATTGATGTGCCTCTTCAACGGATGCCTCGCCCAATTATGTAAGATACCGACTTACATGTTCTATTGTGCTTGTGCTGTCTTGGCTAGTAAACTTAGCAAACTCTGGGAGCCTGTAATTTGTAGGAAGAGCGACCAAATCATACCATTCTGAATATGAGTATTTGTACGAGAAGGTCAGCCCTTTTGGATTCAAACCGAACTGATTCATCATCATCTCAGTCACTCTCAGCAATAACTCATCAGCATTTGAATTTGGATTTCTCTACACCTGCTGACCCATCTGAGGATTGAAATCCCGTGTGCCTTGATATCCTAAATTCGAAATCATGTGAAGGGTGTTATAATCTGTGCCATAATTATACCCCTGTGGAATCTCTATCTACTGGGTTCTTTGCTGGTTTGCTGCTTCAAGTCTCTGGTTATAGACATTAGGATCTATATCTCTATGGATCCTTTGAATTGATAGTGCTATTTTTTGAGACGACAATGGTATGTGACCTGATGTGCCAAAATTAATCATCTGGTTTTGACCTTGCCCCGCCGGCTGTTGCATATGCTGCACTGATGATCCAGGATTATACTATATCTGATTCGTAGTAGCACCTTGAGCTTGCTCAGATGAACTCTAGACTATCTGGACATCATCATTACTAGCTAGTGCTGCTTCTTGATGGCTAGTACCGGCTTGATTAGTCCCTTGAGTCGACGAATGTGAAATATTGTAATAAACCGGTCCAACCTGATCAACTGGGAACCCATGGAACACCTCTTTCATGGTGTTGTGGAATATGTTCAGGAAAACTTCATTATGGTTCGATATGGCATCATGAACAGATTTGTTTACAGCTTCCGTGAATAAACGCCTGTCTTCAGTCTCATCTGCATCTGTCTGCCCATGTAATAGAACTCTTGGTAGTGGATATTTCTGAACAATTGTATTATCACGTATCTTGGTGTAGGACAACAAACACTTGTTCTAAAATTCTTCTACAGCTTTGCTGATGACATCTTTATCTCCATCAGGTAGGTCTTCATAAGGTACCATAAGGATGTTGTTGTTGTTGTTGTAAGCCGCCATGATGATTGTGGGGTCCCACCGAGCGTGCCAGAACGTGTGTCGGTATGAAAATTCGTCTCGTGCCGGGCACACGAGCAAGCCATAAGCGTCTGCTCGATGGAGCTGGAAATCCGCCTGGCTTCAACGCAGCGATGATCGATCCTGCGTACTCCTCCCGAGACGTGCCAGTCAATTTGACCTTGCAATTAACAAGGGGAGAAAGCTAATCAGTAATTTAAGGTGGAACATGCCGGTGTTGCCCGACAGTCCTGAATATGTGGCTCTAAGAGCCGATGTGGAAAGAGATTGACTAAATAGCCGATTCCAGCATCCTCATAAGAATAAATCGGTTAAAGCTCATGAAATTATGAAAGAAAAATCGGTTATCATTCATGATGAATATCGTTATTTAGACAAATATTAGTCAATGGCAATAGGATGTCAATACTAATCAGTTTATGCTAAGCCAATGACTATAAGTAACCGAATCCTTTTTTATATAAAAAATTCAGAAAATAGCTCCTCACCATTTAACCATTTAATATAGATAAATCTAATGAACATATTAGATCTCATCTATCGCTATGACCAGTGGGGCATGAGGCAGAATCATGCCGGCCGTAATACAGTAATAAGATCATGGGGCTAACATATCTTTCAACCTACCCTTACTTCAACGGTCTCGTGGCATGAACTATATATGTGAAAACACTCGATATCGGCTAAAACAGCCGATTAAGACATAGCGCACAATTAAGGTCATGCTCTATCAAGAATAGATCTACCAAATAACGGTCCCCGCTCCATGGTGCTAACAGTAGGGTATGAGGCAGAATCACACAAACCGTGATAACAGGCCATGGAACGGTTTTGTTAGCCGATAGATCTATTCAAGACCAGACATGCCTTAATCGCACACTATGCACGATCGAGATTAACATAAAACAGCCGAGAAAACATAACTCATCGTTTAAGGTGCAGATTAGATCAGTTTAAATTAATAAACGATGGGTTAAACAGGATATAACGCCGATCTAGATCAATCCCAATTGGGCAAAGTGATATTGCTGTAATTAAATAAATAATGAAAGTAATAAGCAATATCGGTAACTTAACGAATCTATCCGAAGGACGCCACCCTTAGATAGAGCCGATAACTTGACCTTAATCTAGTTCGAGCAGTGGAGGTCGACCGGATCGATGCAGCCGTACTTGAACTAGACAAGAGTCGATAACTAGCTTATACCAGAGTCACAGTGGAGGTCAACCGGATCGATGCAGCCGTATGAACAAAAGTATAAGTCAAGTCGGTACTTACAGACAAGCCGGAAGTCGGCCGGACCGATGCAGCCCTGCTCGCTGAAGAACTCGTCATGATCTACTCTACTCCTACTCCTAAGGGGTGGCCGGAGCCGGAAAAAGTAAGTAACTGGTATTTGATTGATTGTGTGTTTTACAATAGCCGGGGTGCAATATTTATATCCGGAGCCTAAACATGAATCCTATTCGAGTACAACTCATTACAATATTTGGTATCGAAGAAAACATTCCTATCTTAAAATAACTTGGACCTTAATTTTTTTCTTTTCTAAGTCCGATATGCAGTTCTTCGACGCCAACCGTAGCTCATCATCGTTATCTGCCAATGTCATTCAAGAGAGCCGATTCCAGTGTCGCGTCTGAATTAGCTGATATCAATCTTCATGCAATCAAGTCCTTGATCGACGTAAATTTGGAAACTTCAAGTCCCCGCGTTCTTTCCTCTAAATTTTGGTGTAAACACGTAGGCGTATACCAAGTAAAACATCTATGCCTAACAAACCATGCACATTGACCCAGGCCAGGCTAGCAGAGTAGATTTTTGCAGCACGCCACACTCAGGCACTCAGGTAGTGATCCCATCGATCCGAGTGGCACGCGGGCCATGCATGCATATGCATGTTGTATTGCCTACTGCCTCGGCCCTCAAGAGATGGCGACGTCGCACGGCACGCTCTCGAACGACCTTGCAGACGACGGCGCGAGGCCGATGACGACGGGCGAGCAGAACGCCTGCAGGTCGTAGCGCCTGCTCCTGACGCCGGCGACCTTGAACTGGACGCGCGCGCGCATCCGGACGTCGACGCCCACCTGCCCCGCCGCGAGGTCGTGCCGAAGCTCCCGCGCGGTCTGCTCCCCGACGGGCACCGACCGCGCCACGGCGCGCACCTCCAGCCGCGTCTCGTCGCGGTGCGGCTGCCGGAACGGCGCCGGCGCGTCCTCGACCGCCAGCTGCGCCGCCTCGCCGTACAGCACGCGGAACTCCACCCACTCGTACAGGATCGACACGCGCCGGTTCGGGTTGTCGGCGGCGAGCGTGAGGTAGAACGCGCGTTGGCCGTGGCGTCGGGCGGCGGCCTCACGTTGAAGTGGCGCACCACGGCGCCGGTGACGGTGTAGTCGATGGACTTCGGCCGGACCACGAGCCAGAAAATGAGCGCAGCCAGCCCCGCGAGGAGGATGGTGACCACCAGCGCGGCCACGAGGCAGCGGAGCACGGCCACCGCCGCGCGCGCCCGCTGTACGTGATGCCCCCCCGCAGTTGTTGCAGTTGTTGCGACGTTACTGTAGGAAGCTGCTGTACGTGGCGACGTTGCAGTTGTTGCGGTTGCGCGGCGCATGGACGGGTCGTGGCTGCCGCCGCGGCTTTGTATAGAGGAGATCGTCGTCGTTCAGAGGACGAGTTGTGTACTCCATGTGCCGCAGGCTTTCTTGGCGGGCAACGAATCAAAGAGATGACCACAGCTAGATGTCTGTGGTGTGTTGCATTGAAAGCCGTGATCCGATGTTTTTGCTTTCGGTTTGTGCTTTGAGTGACTGTTGACGATGGCGAGATTCGAATTTGAGTTCTCCCTGCGCACTGAAGGACTTTCGTTGAGTCGTTGAGACATACCGTGGAATGCTTACAGCGTGCTAGGCTCCCGCGTAGGAATCTACTAGTGAGTACTTTCTCGAGTCAACAAAGCAGCTTGATGTTCAAACAAGGAGCAAAAACGTTTGGATCATATCCAAGCGCAACAAAACTAAGAATCTCATTTTTATTAGTCATTCTTGAACTATTTTTCGAACGCAATCCTTCTTGAACTTTGAATGAAAGTTTCTTTAGGAACACACTTCTCCTATAGTCCTATATCACAAATGCCTACATTTTTAGAGTCCGTCCAGCCAGCACCCGAGTATTTCGTCGGCTGTGAGCACTCGATCACGCTACCTTCACCGTGCTAGGGTTTCGTTGGAGCACAGCTGCAGCGGCCTCCTCCTCCCCCTCCTTCCACGGAGAGCTCCGGCCATGGGCGCCCCCGCCCCCGCCCCGGCCCCGACCTGGCCCGGCCACCTCTGCCGCCGCCAAGGCCCCTAAATCGTCCTGCCGCCATCCCCACCGTCTGGCCAATCTTTCTTCCCAAAGTCTCCTTCTAAGCCCACCGGTGTTGGAGAAGAAGAGGGGAAGAGGCCGGAGAGGGAGATCGCCAGAACCCTAGCGCCGGACCATCTTCTTCGTCTCCGGCGTGGGCGCAGGCGCGGGAGGGAGAGGGAGACGCGCTGCAGAAATTGAGTGTTCCAACACTCGTTGTTGGATATCCTTACTTATTTTTTATCGTTGTTGCTTAGGTAACATGTAATTTTATCATTATTTTATCATAAAAATATAAATTATATCTTGTAGATTGTCTTTTTAGTTGTAATATTGTTGTCTGCAAATTCCTAAAAATCCAAGCACAAATATAGCACTAGCTCCCTTGAGAACATGCATCCACGACACCCCTAGCACACTTGCTGGAAACAAACTAAGGATCATCATTTGCAAATCTATCTATATCTCCTATAAAGCTAATCCTTATTATTATAAGTCTATCTCAATACACAATCCATCCACATTATCCCACGCTATCTACATCATCTTCACTAATAGCCATGTCATCCGGCTAACTTCTAACATTATAATCCAAGCTATATGTCATCTTTACTTGATTTTAATCTAAATTCTTTGCAACCCCTATAACTACGCGTGAGGTATCTTCTAGTAAATAAGAAATCAAATATCAACTAGCAGCTGCAGGCTAATTAGTTGCAACCGTAAGCAAATTAATTGTTTTTTTAGTAATTCCTTTGGACTTTTTTTAGATGAAAAAGACGCGTGTTACGTATCTACAGGGCGTGTTTGGGGTCAGAGCTTCCCACCTAGGGGACTTCTTGAAATGAACGGCAGAGATCCTGGGACCGGTTGTTTCTCGGGTGCCGATGGATCGTGATTCTAAGGAGAGGCAGGGTCCCCGGTCGACATCTTCATACGGATTCTACGCCTACCCTAAGGCATCTATATACATCTTATATTTAATATAATACATCAAAGATATAGAACGTAGGGTATTACGTCGATCAGACGGCCCGAACCTGTCTAAATCGCTGTCTCTGCGCCTTATATCACCATCCGGTTCCTATCATGCGCACCTTCATCGATCAATCTACCTTTGTGGGATACCTCTCGGAGGACTGCCGGGCATCTTTTGTTGACAGTTGACGTCCACCGTGGGGCAGCGCGTGCTGATGCATGGCGAACCAGATGGGATCTCAAGATGTTATAATATAAGGACGACGTCGCCTGTACTACTTACTCCGACCACCCGCCACGTCGCAATGATGACCGCCGCCACGATGACAGGCCAGAAAGCTCGAGGGCCGAGCAATTTCGTCAACGCCGACCAGATAACGCCATACGCTGCCGACTAGACGTTCTGTCTAAAGCAAAGTCACGCTTTAATATTTTTCTAAATATTCTCCAATCTTCGTATATCGCCATAATGTTTCTTCAAACTGTTTTCTCCTTGTTTGTTCTCCAAACGATTTTCTTTCATGTATACCATCTTAAAGATGACATACAGCTAAGTCTAAGGCGAATCCTCGAACAGTCATGTTGACGCTCGGATGTCCCCAGAGATGGCTCTGTCTCTGGCTCCTCCCTACACGTGCACGAGCGTCTGCCATCTGCATTATGGGTGGTCGACAGCGGCTCCTTAGCGACGCTTTGTTCTTCCTACACGCACACGGGCTCATCGCTCCGTGTTATGGTTAATAGGCTAGCTAGGGCTGGAGACTCAGCTACACACTAACTGGTCGAGCGGTTTATATTCAATATAAATACATCTTCAGAATCACACTAAGTGTTCACACCAACTGATCGCCGAGCTGCATATGCTATTTCATGACCATTGCTGATTCTTCTCTAGAGTTTATATATTTTACATCATGTACTACCCGTTCTACACATTTGTATTGTAGGATCATCGTCCAGGTGGTCGGACCACCTGGTGCTCGGACTTCTCCACCGATCAATTGGTCAGACCGCTAGGTTCATGGACTTCATCGCCGACCAGTTGATCGGACTGTTCGCTGATTGCTTCTACTCAATGCTCACTACGCCGAGGACTCCTCGGTCCTCGGACATCGCTAGCTACGCCGGGCACTTCTCTGTGCTCGGACATCGCCAGCTACGCTGGGGACTCCTCGGTGCTCGGACATCGCCAGCTACGCCAGGGACTCCTCGATGCTCGGACATCGCCAGCTACGCGGGGGACTCCTCGATGCTCGAACATCGCCAGCTACGCCGCGGACTCCTCGGTGCTCGGACATCGCCAGCTACGTCGGGGACTCCTCAGTGCTCGGACATCGCCAGCTATGCTGGGGACTCCTCCGTGTTTGGATTCTTCGTGCAAGCATCGCTAGCTAAGCTAAGGACTCCCTTGGTGGTCGGATCTTTCTTTCTTCATCTTGGCTTCTTTGCTACCACCGGCAGACTTGAGCTCCGTGTGAGCCTGCCTTCGTCTCGGTCATGAGGCCTTTGACGAATCACTAGTTAGGCCAACCTCGCCGATGAACTGCCTCCCCTAACATTGCTGGATAATATATGCAGCCTGTGGCCCGTTGGTCCACACCTAAGCCCGTGTTTTTGGCTTGGCACGAGCATGGCACTGGCCGGTGACTAGCGGGCTCGGGCTAGCCCAACTCAATGTATAAGGTCGTGCCTAGGCCGCTCCAGGCATGGCGGGCGGCATGGCAATGACCCATTAAACAACATCGGCCCAGTACCAGGCCCATTAACAACATGGCTGACTAATATATCTACACAGCCCAACACCAAGTCTCAACGTGCGTGTTGTGGGCGTCTACATTATACCGTGCAATTCTAAAAAACTGTTGTCTTAGACTCACTCGGTCATATTGTTCCAAGTTCCCACCCACGCCACCTCCTTCGTCCAGCGATTCCGTGTCGATCCCCACATCCTCATCCGCGGCTCCTCCTCCCGTTCAAGACTCGCTTGGAGCGAGAGCGCAAGTCGCAAAGGGCGACGCGAATCACCCGCCCCTACCTCGCCGGTCCTCTTTGCCTCCTCACTCGATGCGGACTCCTCCGGTCATCCTCAGTCCTCGGCGCAGAGTCGCATCCCGGCACAACGACTCCTCCCTGCTCGAGGCAGCCTCCTCCCGCCTAAGGCCCGAGCGCCGTTCCTTTTCTTCCCGAGCACTGACCACGACTTTCTCTCGAGCGCCGACTATTCTCCTTCCTCACACCACTAGAGAACATCAACTACTCTTTGCGGCTCTGCCTCGTGCTATCCCGGCCTACTAAGGCTTGCGGACTCATCGGACCAGCCCAACACGGAAAAGGGCATGACGTGCTGTGCCTAGGCTGAAGGCCAGGCCGTGGCCCTATTTTTTATAGGCACGTATAGTTGGCCAAATGGCCCACGACCCAGCAGCATGTCCCACGACACAAGATTTTGACCCAGCCCAGGCACAGCACGGCCCGATGGTCATCGTGCCCATGCCGGCCTGGCCCGACTATGGGCCCATGCCTGGGCCGCACTCTCGGCATGGCGTGCTGGCCTGGCCTGATCAATAGGAGGCCTGCTAAGGCCATCTCAGATCCCTTCACCTCTCATGTATACGAACATACCTAACCCTAACCCCATCTCTCGACTAAGTCCTAGTCGTTGCACGCCCTTCCTTTCTCTTGTCTGTGAATACTCCAACACCGGTGCCCTCCCATCCCTTCTCCCTCCACTAGCACTTCCCATGATCCCGTCCCTTCTCCCCTCAGCTTCCTTGCTCCTGGTTGCACGACTATGGCAACCGAACGGGTGCACCTCGACATCTCGGCCACGTGCAGGCACAACAGCGTGGTGCTGCTCCCTAGACTCGCACGGGTGCGTCTGCGCTTCTACTCATCCTCACATGGGCGCGACAGCGCTGCTCTCTGGCCTCGTGTGGTGGTGTGCCTCTCCTAAGCACGATGGGCTCATCGGGCTGTCAGGCCAGCATGGCACGGCCTGAGGCTTATAGGGTCGTGCTTGGGCCGTAGGTACAACCCATGGGCGGGCATAGCATGACCTAGGGTAGCAACCGTACCATGCTGGCCTGACCATTAGCAGGCCATGCCTTACCAGGCCTCGTGCCAGGCCCGGCGAAACATTTGGACATCTATATTGGCACGCTCGGTGTTCGTGGGCCATGCTTTTCACCAGGCCCATGCTATGCCGAGCCAGGCAGCCCGTTTGGCCATGTATAGATGGAAGTGATGATAGCATGGGATATGGCTTGTACGGTTGAAAGCTCTAGTTTGGTT